CGGCAGCACGCATATACAGCATGCAAACGCGCGATGAGGAAGGGGAGGAGAGAGCAAGCAGCGCAACAATGAAGGACAGACGGGAGTGGAGAGATCAGTACTCCCCAACACGCGCAAGCGCTCTCAAGCGGAGACTTAATCCGCACGTGGATCCTTGCATTGTGTGTCCGCTTTTCTTGGGCAGCAGCCAACGCAACGCGAATATGCCAGATCAGTCAGGATTTTTGGAACAAACCCTGTCAACAGCACGCCGGAGAGCCTTCCAGGGATGCCCGAGACACTTGAATTCGAGCATGATATTCGCAATGCGGGGAACAGGATCTACATTCATGTACTGCCAACGCATTGGACCAGCAACCTTTGCACGGATAGATTGTTTCTCCGAGAGAGGTCTGTTATTGTGCCTCGATTGGAAGCGAGGGACTGGAGCACGTACCACAGCAACACGAAACATATTGCCGTTCTCGCCATAAGATGGCAGTGACACATGCGGTCTAGTGCCAACATTGAAACCAGCAAACATGCAGGATCTTCAATCTTCAGTCTCAGCAGTCATACGTGCGGTTTTTGTTACGTATCCGGCTGTGGATGGACCCTCTTTAAGTTTTTCAATCATTGGGCCATTCAGAGCCCCGATATCCGGCGCACGGTGATGTTAGAGGCATCGCACCCCGGAGATATCATCCACCCACGGGGCAGTCAGCATTGTGACAAAATGATTAAACCACACGGAACATGTGGTGGCAATCGCATGCGTTAAATTCCCGGAAACAACACGCAAGACTGCGCTCTCCAGAGGACAGATTGCTACCCACTTTGCTTCATCCCTACAGTGGGCACGAACAGACCTGTTCCGCCGATGTCTCAATCAGCGTTTACAGTTGGAATACCTGTCATCCCCGCGTAGGACAATCGTCGGCAGAGTCGACAGAGACGACACGACAATCATGTGGCCTTTGAATGCACGATATAAACACAGTGGAGACCGTACCGAGGAGCTTACCTGTAGAGCCGAGGCAGACGGGTGAAGCGACGACGAGTGCCGTGGACCTCGTACCAACGTGCAACGACCCAGCGCCAGCCTTTGTTGATGAGGGTGCGCGGAAAGTCATTGAGAAGTTATCAGCGCCCCGCTTAAACGGCGCGCAGATGGGGGTAGAACTGCGAGTTCATTTGCCAACGCAATCAACACTAACTTCGCGAAATTTGTCCACCACCTGTTCAGCAGCAGTCACAGGTACGCATTCGGGGCACAGGCTGGTAGCCATGAGCTTAAGAACACGGCAGGCGAACGAGAAGCGCGAACGCATGCAGTGTTTAGCGTAGGGCCCTGAAGGACAGACTCTGAGGTGCAAGCCTGATGTTTTCGGCCACGCGTCGACCCCACCAAATTCGTGATGAGTGACCGTCTTGCGGAAGCAGACCCGTGCACGCCATTTAGATTGCGCTTCGTGGTGGATGGAATTCTTGCCTGAGAACAAGCGACACACGTTGCTGTTACCAGGAAAACCTCACGAGCACGTGTTTTCCAAGAGCGAGGGCAATACATGGTAAGAGCAGATGGCATCTTGTCAACAGGGGAGACAACGGCAATGCGACGCAGACGTCGGCTCATTTTCCCCATGTCAGTTTGCAAGACACCGTGCCCCATGAAGGACTTCGAAAGAACAAACATGGCCCTGACCTTGCAAGCGTCAGATAATCAATGCAAGCATGTGGAGCAACACGAGAGCACTTTGAATCCAGAGTTTCCACAGCACGCAACAATATGCCGCACAAATCCACATGCGCAAGCCCCCAAAGAGTGGAACGGGGCCAGAATGATGGATGAACTTGTCGTGCCTTGCAGCAAACAAAACACGAGCCTTTTTCTGGGAACGGCTCACAGACAGTTCATCACATGGGGGCATCGACGATGCACGAAATTCACATTAACCGAGTGATTTGGACCACGATTTCGCAGTCACCAGCAGACTCTTCGGCGACGGTAATTTGAATCGATTGAATTGCACGTGCGCAGACGAACCAACCGGGAGTTGAACAGACAATTGAGAACGGATGGCGGGAGCAAGAGCCGGACGAAAGGAAAAGTTAAGCAGGGAAGGGGTTTGGGTAGAACATGAAACATAGAACCAATAACCAACACGTTCGACTATCTGGAACATTCTGGCGAGCCACAGCAAGGCTGGATCTGGGCAGCGCTTTTCGCAGACGTTGAAAGAAAGCAGGGCGCGACGGTTTGTTTGTTTCACGCAGCCAATTAACAAAATGACTGCCTTCATTCGCGTTCCGTCGCGTGCTGTCCAGGACCGAGGTTGCAAGGGAAAGATCGTCGCATGGTGCAACGCGTAGACGCGCAGTCGACCTGGACAGTATTGAACAAGACGGATAGTTTGAAAACCGACAAGCACGGGGACGAGAGCCAGACTTGGTACGATTCACCACCTCGCTGCAAAACGCCAGATTGGTCCCACGGATCCCATGCGTTTTTTTCACGGACCGAAAATTCACTTGAGGGCGGAGAACATGCGTGATTCGTTTTTTTCGAGCATGCGCAATTCAAATGCCGACGACGACAGACACGCAACAAGTAAAACGAGCAACCTCCAACGGCCTTATCTTTAAATACGGGGGGATGTGGGAACGAGGGCGATCGCTGAGCAGGTGTCCCAAATGCTCGCGGATGTTCACGTCCATCCCGCGATCGCATTCCGAACATTCAGTAAGTTGAGGAAAACCATGCATGCGCAACATGGGAGGCGCAAGAAGGAGAGACACGATCACAGTGGACAGCAGACGCAGGCCGGACAACAGACGAGCACGTCTTGGGATGGCGAATGACAGAAGGAGAGACCGAGGAGACGGATGGTAGAGATGGTGTGATGACCTTTGAGGGCATCCAACATCGCGCCCATGTCTGATTTCGCAAATACAGTTATATTCAAGGAAGAATTGACGCACAAACCGCACAGATAGGCTTTGAGGTGACGCCAGAACCGGAAACTTGTCTCCACGCCTTCTTTTTGACCTACCGGCAATGGATATTCGAGGCGACATTTTTCATGATGACACCCGCGCAGCGGGCGGGGTCGACATCCACGCGCCGTTTGCATGATTTGCATTAGTCGGGCCCGACGTACATGTGTCAAAGTGCACATATCTTCCATTTCCGACCAATGTCTCAAATCGAAGCGCATGCAAAAGCAAGAGAACAGGGAGAGGAGAAACATATACACGTGTCTTCGCTCGTGCCCAGTCTGAAAAGCACCGGTGCTATATACTCGCACGCGCGCTAGTTTGCCGCGTGGCGGGCGAAGTATGGAACGCGCTACCTGTGGATCAGAGCTGCTGCTGCTCCACGGTCTTGGCGCACTCAGGGAAGTTGAATCAGCATGCCTTGGACGACGCCTCTGCCAGGGATTTGGCGATGACATCTCGTGAACCTGAACCCCATGATCATGTCGGTCACTGCGGAATCCCAAGGGTGGTTGGATAAACGCCCATTGTTGGCCCACTGGATCTTCACCATGTAGTTGTTCGCGCCGGCAAGCTGGTCTACATCTATCATTGTGCCAGTCTCGTCCTTGCGGTTGACAGAACATCCCATAGACTCCTGGGGCTCGAGGCGAGGAGGCCATATCGGCACTTTGGAAGCTTGGAAGTCTTCCTACAGGGAACGCTCCATGCGCGGGTCCCTGCGGAACTCGTGGCCCCCAGGGCGCGAACGATTCTGGCGGAAAGACTCGTTGCATCGTTTCTTCTCCACAAAGTCGGTCACGGACGCAGGTGGGGGATCCGCACGGTTCCAAGATTTCAGCCGCGAAGTTATTCCAAGTTCCTTCGCATGGGAATGAATCCAGGAATCTCTCGAGCGCGCCGGACGGCGACGTTCCTTTCCCCATGAGAACGAAGGAGTACCGGTACAGCACGCGCTTTTTTTTCATCATGCCGTGGCCAATATGAGTTGTGGCCACACTCGCAGCTCCGAATCGATCAACACTGTCCGCATGGAGGGGTGAGAATCTACCCTGCTCATCTTGGTTGTACACCCTCATATCTACCACTTGGCCTTTTGTACGCACGCATAGGCGCAGGCCTCGGGGTAAGTGAAGAAATGCCAGAAGCCATCGGGAATCGGATTTGACCTTGTGAGCGGTACCCATACCCGGATGGTTGTTGCTTGTAGTGTTGGCCAAACAATGGCGGGCGAGGGACAAACATGTTCATCGCGAGGCAAAGGAAACAAACAAGTAAATTATGCGGAATGTGCATGCAATTGCGCAGTGTGGATATCAAGGAATAGGTGCGTGTTTGGCAGATGTTCTACCCCAGTCACGACGGGATGACTATACGATGGAGCTGTCGCTTGAGCATATCGCAACACTGCGAATTCTCATGCAAAGCACACATACACACAACAAGCTGGCTCGATTTACTTCCGCTGTTATTTTCGCTGGTATGTACATGGACGGAAGAATGGGAGCCATGCCGCGGCCGGAGGTTTTAGCAATCATAACCCGTTGAAGCAGGCCCACATTGCCAACACACGGAATGTTATTGTACATGGATGATGAAACGACCACGAAACAGCGCACAAAAACAATACGCAGACGAGGGGGAATGGGAGGAGAGAGCAAGAAACGCAACAAAGAAGGACGGACGGGAGAAGGGAGAGCAGTACACCCCACCACGCGCAAGTGCTCTCAGCGGGGATTAAATCCGCACGGTGATCATTGCAGTGTTTTCGTTTTTCTTGAGCAGCAGCCAACGCAACGCGAGTGCAAGACAAGTGGGGATATAGACCGTCAGCAGTTTTTCAATCAAGTGGCCATTCGATGCAGGAGAGGAGCAGGAGCAGGAGCAGGAGCAGGAGCCGGAGGAGAAGCAGTAGTAGGAGCAGGAGGAGGAGCAGGAGGAGTAGGAGGAGGAGGAGGAGGAGGAGGAGGAGGAGGAGGAGAAGGAGCAGGAGCAGGAGGAGGAGGAAGAGGAGGCGAGAGCAGGAGAAGGTCGCGGAGGAGGAGGAGGAGGAGGAGAAGGATCACTCGATGGCGGCTTCCGACGGCGGCCCTGCCATGTCGCGCGTCCTGGAGGGCGTCGCGCGCGGGGAGCGGCAGCCCCTGGCCTGGCTCCAAGACAGCGCCGCCTCCCGCGGGGAGAAGTTGGCCAGCCGCCGTGGCGGGTCGGCCGCCTAAGGTATGATAGCTGGACGGCGACGATGACGACGACGACGACGACGACGACGACGATACGACGACGACGACGACGACGGCAGCGGACCGCACGACGAGGGACGGGACGAAAGGGTAAGACAGGGAGGCTTGGGCCGTGAGACGAGGGTCAATGCAAACGGGGTTCGGCCAGGGTGCCGGATTTGCAGAATTTTGCAGAGCTTGGGGTGCATTGACCCGGGCTTGGGTGCAGGATTTTGCAGGATTGTGCAGGATTCTGCGAAGGCTGATTGACCTGGCTTTGCATTGGCCCCGATCAGTTAAAGTCGGAGGGAGAGGGGGGGGCTACGAAATCTCCTGCATGCTGTTGGTTTCCGCACTGCCGTTGGGCCCATTCGTCGATGCATGGACACCTTCCGGCGCCAGGAATGGGCTACGTGAGCTGATTCCTTACGTGAGTTGATTATTTACCCTGCCTTTGGCTATCCTGCCCTACTATTGCCCCACCAGATATAGTACTATGGGTGTATGTGCCTAATTGGTTTTTCCGGGCCGCCTCCATATACGTTTTTCACGACCAGTATTCCCCCCCCGCCTTTTTGGGAAGTGCCTCTGTGGCCAATCGTTGGGCCCCAGCTTGGCCAAGCTCCTGACTACGTATGATTTAGGAATGCCCCCAACGCATAATTATGGGATCGCGCACCCCCTCCGTTGGATAGGTACGCCCGTGAGCTTTGCGAATGCCTTGCGAATGAGATCGTTCCCTCCCCCCCTTGGTCGTGGCCTTGTGGGCGTGGCGTGGTGGAGGGTGCTGGTGCGGAATAAGGCCGGTCCCAACCATTTCGGGCCGATTCCACCTTTTTGGGGCGGATTCCAACCATCGACCAGGGGCCGATCCCAACGTGAAGGAATCCTATAGCAATTCTACAAGACGAACACCAGATTACAACCTCAGCAGAGCCTCTGCAGAGCCCCTGAAGCGCTTCACAAGCGCCACTGAAGCGCCGCTGAAGCGCTTAACATGAGCTTCGGGAGGGCTTCTAAAGCGCTCCTCACGAGCTTCTGGAGAGCTCCCGGAGGGCTTCCGGAGAGCTTATCAAGGCCTTCTGAAGCGTTTCTCATGAGCTTCTGGAGAGCGTCTGAAGCGCTTGCCATGAGCTTCTGGCGAGCTTCTGCTGCGCTTCTCATGTTCTGAATCGCTTGTCATGAGCTGTTGGAGAGCTTCTGAGGCGCTTGTCATGAGCTTCTGAAGACTTTCGAAAGCGCTTATGAAGCACTTCTGTCGCGCTTCCCATGAGCTACTGAAGAGCTTCGGCA